TAATATTTAGATGTATATTTATATATATCTATGTATCTTTGCATGCATACACATATATACATACACACATATATATATATACATATATATATATATATATATACATATGTATTCACTTATTTATATGTATTTATATGTTCATATATATATATATATATTTAGTGTTTATTATATATATGTATATTATGTATATATATATATATATAGTTAGATATCTATGTACACAGCTATTTATTTATATTTATTTATATGTTCATATATATATTTGTTTAGGGTTTATTGCAATCTTTCTGCTTTCACTGTGTCTAATGATTAAATTTTATTAAAGACAAACAAACCAGCGTATGCGCAATTATTCAAGAAAAAGAAAAGGAGTAAAGATAAATAAACAAACAAATAAAGAAGACATATAATAAACTAGAAGAGTAATAATATAATAAATAAACAAAACAAGAAAATAAATAATTAAAACAATAATAATATTAAACTGCAGCATCTGTCTGCGCCCCACGGAGTAGACATAGGGGGGTCTAAGCGTGTGCTGGTACATAGGCTTAGTTGAGATGTCTCGCCGTGCAAAATGTATCAAAATAAATGATTTGAATGAAAAAATAATAATATATTTGAATTTAAAACATTTAAATAGATTTCTGCCGCTTAAAATATGTGCAAAACCCTCGAAATTGACTGAGGATAAGCCTGCAGCCATACTACTATTGGAGCTGGCGAGACAGCTGCTGGTAGTAATGCCCGATATTTTGTATTTATATGTATTTTTATATTTAAAATAAAATAAAATAAATAAAATTAAACAAATTTAAAACAATTTAAATCAATTAATTCTCTTGTTTTTCATCGACTGCCTCCGAGCACATCTCTGAAGTTTCTGTCTACTCCCCTTCATTTTGCTCGTTTTCATCTTCTTCTTTGCAGCTAAACTAGCGGAAAAGAATATTAATTATAATATTCTTTTGATATTTATTCTTTTATTTATATTTATTTGTTTAAATTCTTTCATATTACACTTCTTCCCCCCCAACACCGCATACCGCATACCGTACCAGAGCCGACTGTCTAGCTGTTGTTCTCGACGGGGTATTTCTCTTCTAAAAACTAGCTGAGACAAATAAAAATATATTTTATCTGTTTTTATTAAAAAGAATTTAATACTTTTACGGCTTATTTCTTCTTTTTTTCTTCCTGTTGTTCTACAACGCGAGGCTTGGGGTGTACGTACACCT